CATCAGAGCACATAAATGTGCTCGAACTGAGGGCTGTTCATCTTGCTCTCAAGGGTCTGTTACCATTTTTTCACCACAAGCATGTGCTAGTGAGAACGGACAGTACCTCAGCAGTTTACCACATAAATCACCAAGGAGGGACGAAATCACCACGCTGTCTCCAGGTGGCAATGAACCTGCTGACGTGGACATGGCCTTGGCTGTCCTCACTGAGAGCAATCCACATCCCGGGTGTGACAAACAGAGCAGCCGACATTTTGTCCAGAACAGGGCCTCTCCCAGGGGAATGGCGGTTGCACACGGAGGTAATAGCCCAAATTTGGACCCAATACGGGACAGCTTGTGTCGATCTCTTTGCTTCCAGGGAGACAACCCATTGCCTGGGGTGGTACTTCCTCACGGTACAAGAGGGCAGTTTAGACCTGGATGCTCTGTCACAAGAGTGGCCGAGAGGCTTATTATATGCTTTTCCCCCCTTTCCTCTGATTTCCCAGGTCCTCCAGAGGATCAGGGAGGGTCATTGCACAGTTCTGCTAGTTGCTCCACGCTGGCCGCGAAGACCATGGTTCCCGGACCTAGTTCAGCTGGTTCAGGGTCCTCCGTGGCAACTTCCATCACGGGCAGATCTCCTATCCCAAATAGACGGGCAGATTTGGCATCCAAACCCAATGGCACTACGATTGTGGGTATGGCCTCTGCAGAGTCCGTCCCTCAACAGCTAGATGAAACGGTACGCGAGACACTGAATAATGCCAGAGCTCCATCTACTCGGGCTAATTACGCCATAAAGTGGAGAATTTTTTCAGAGTGGTGTTTAGGCTTGAATGTTGATCCAATAACCTGCTCTGTGCCACTTGTCCTTAGATTCCTGCAGGCTCAACTGGATCAGGGCAAAGCAGCCAGTACAATCAGGGTTTATGCTTCATCTATTTCAGCATCTCATCGGGGAGTGGATGGCCAGCCATTAGGCTGACATCCCTTGGTAGGTCAGTTCCTGAAGGGAGCTGGTCGCTTATGTCCAAATCGCACTTTCCGGGTACCCAATTGGGATTTGCCTTTTGTACTAGACTCTCTCACTAAGCATCCGTATGAGCCTATGGCAGATGCAGATTTTAAATCTTTGTCTCTCAAGACAGCTTTTCTCTTGGCTATATGCTCTGCTAAAAGGGTAGGAGAATTATGTGCGCTATCTGTTAGTGAGGATTGTTTACGTTGGAGGCCGGATGGCACAGGGGTGACGCTCTGGCCCAACCCTGCCTTTTTACCAAAAGTACTTAATTCTCAGTTCAGGAATCAAGTTCTGGAGGTAGTTCAATTTCAACCCCCTTCACAGGCAGATCAGCAGAATTTGCTCACCCTTTGTCCAGTAAGGGCTTTACGCACTTATGTTAATTTTACTCAGACCTTGAGGAAGTCTCATTCTCAGCTTTTTGTTTGCTATGGGAAGGCCAGACTAGGGTGGCCACTTTCTAAGCAACGTTTGTCACATTGGTTGGTTGAGGTTATTTCCCAGGCTTATACAGGAAGTGGGTTGCCAGTTCCAATGGGAATACGGGCCGACTCAACTAGAAGTGTAGCTACTTCTTGGGCTGCACTAAAAGGGGTTTCAGTGGGGGAGATTTGAGCTGCAGCATCATGGTCTACACCATGTACATTTGCTAAATTTTACAGAGTTGACGTAACTAGCACAACGCCTGTCAGCACTGCAGTTTTGATGTCTGTAGCCCAGCGAGGGTTGAATAGTTCAGAGTCTGTAGTTCCTCGCGACCCTGTTGACATGAGTCATCCTATTAGACCGTAGTGACGGTCAGAGTGAGGTCGAAACAGATCGTAAGTTATGAATATAACTATGGATCTGTGAGACCGAAGGATGACCGTCACTATCCTTGTCGCTCGGAACACTAGGGCGTTCAAGGTAAGAGAACGAGCCGGAAGTTTAACTCGCCTTTTATAGTGCGCGACGTTCCGCTTACGGGGTCATGGGCATGACTTTGTTTACATAAGGTCTCGAGAGAAGGCGGAACGAAGGTTATCATCCTATTAGACCGTAGTGACAGTCATCCTTCGGTCTCACAGATCCATAGTTATATTCATCACTTACGCTGTCTCACGAACGTAACCAGCACATTTATCCCCACATAGCAAAGCTATAACACAGCGAGGGAGAAGAACTAAGTTACATGAAACAATCCAACTACATATTTTAGTTGGATTACACCACTGACAAGGGAAAAGTCACTACTCACTGTGTCTATGGCTAGCTTCTAGCTTTCTGCGGCTTCTCTTTCAATGTAGTGACGAAACGCGCTCTGTAACGCTGTTTGTTCGCTGTCGGCTACGGTAGAAACATGACGTCACATTATGTCGACCTTTATAGAAGGGGGTCCCGCGGTTATGGAGATATAAATGCCTCATTCTAAGGTAATAAAAACATTACGGTTTATTAAGCAAGTTCTTTATACACCACTGAACACATAGTTATGGATGTCATATTGCATTTCTGTTAATATATACTCAAAATTTTTACACATTGCACCTTTAAATATTGCAATTGCTCCCTGTAATACTGTAAACTGCCTTTACAGTTTCAACACCAGCTGCACATGTTACAACAACCATGAAAACCTGTGAGTAATTGAGTTTGTAAAATCAAAAAGACATTCTTATTCCACCTTTAATGATGTGGCAATAGTTCTTTCAGGCTCATTATTTTCTGTTGCGGTTGAACATTTTATTATATATCAGGCCATCCTTAAAAATATTCTTGTTTGCCGTAACCCGACCGACCCTGTCAATTTAGGACCGACCCAATTTTTTATTTTTTTTCCCTTTTAGTCCGACCGACTTGCCGGTTGTAAATTTGCATTAAGACCGATCGATTTTTTTTTACTCTTCAAACAACTAATACAAATGCAATAAAATATTAATTATATTATAGTAAGCAGGCTACGTTCTTTCTTTTAAATAAAAACCCGTGGCGTCATCTATGATGATTATGTTTACACCATTGGTTTACGCATGTCACACTATGGTCTGTGCGTTCGATTCATTTCATTCACTGTCAATGGTTCGCGCTCGGTGATGATGGCTGCGGCGCGGCTGCTTGTGAAATACGTCTGTATGAGCCTACATTTAGTCGCTCATTATTCGAAATTCTTAATCGTCAAATAGGCAATAGATGTTAACGGCCTTTTCTCGGAGCGCGTCCAGCAGCTCGTCACGATATGGCCGCCGCGAACGCGCAACACACAGCAACGGCAGGCTCTGACAAACACACATAAGTATGGGAAGCAAAGCACACCCAAAGTGGGACGAAACGGCGGGGTGTTACAGAGTTCGCGCAGCGCGGACATGTAGCTAATCTGCGTGGCTCAATGGACCGAGACGCGCGAGCGCGACAGACTCGACAGCGCAGGGAGGAAGTGTTTGCTTGCGCGACCTAATCTCACCAGCGCCGCGCTGACCAATAAAACAGCACATCCCATACCGAAATGTACTAAATTACACTAAAGAAAATCGAACATTCCATAATATGCGCCTAGCCATTTGACCTCACTGATTTCCGTTAATAATAGCAGATGTTTATGGGTCCAATTTAAACGAATAGTGCCAAATGCGCTGTTTTATTGGTCGGCGCGGCGCTGGAGAGATTAGTCATTCATTTATTTGTTTCCCTCTGAAAATCCACTCTTTTTCCCCAAATGAATGCAGCTGGAATTAATGCAATAAACATGTTTTTTGACAAAGATTTCAAATTGTTTGTTGTCTATAACCTGTATCAGAATCAGATTCGCAATGGTGCGCCCAAAGGCATGGGTTGAAGACACTGTCAGTGGCGTCACGATATGCAAATTTGTTTAAATTCATACCGACGTAATCACCATGACCAAAATTGTCCTTTTTTTTTTTCATTGAATTTTGAAGAAAAAAAATATAGACCTACCTACCGACCCTTTTTTTTTTTTTTGCTGTTACTGCAAACCAAAATATTTTTAAGGATGGCCTCACTGCACATTTTACAATGTTTATTTTTTTTTACAGCTTTACCTTTAATGTCCACTTCTGAAACGTCCAGTACAGCTGGTAAGTTACTGATAACACCTTTTCTGGTTATTCTGAATTAAAATTGAAAACGTGATTCAAAGGTGATTCTCCTTGCAATTTGTAATTTATTTTTATATTTGTATACTTAGTTTCCAAGTCAAAACTGCCAAAGAGCAAAACAAAGAAAACCACACGTAAGTTCATCCACTCTTCCTCATTGGTAAAATCACTAGGCCTATGTTGAATTAAAAAATATATATGTGGGATCCATTTACTCAACCAAGGCTCAACTCTACACATGTAAAGTTTCCAAACGTTGAGCAGCATGAAAGGTCTCAACTTAACTATGATTACACTGCTTTTCTTAATGTTTTACTGTTTATAAATTGCATTCGCCAAACATTAAAGTTCAATAGGCTAATGCATCTACATTTTGTGGCTCGCATTGACTCTGCCGGTTAACAGAAGAATGTCATAAGTTACCTAGTACTTAGATGCCAAATTAGTAAGCTAATGGGAAGTCACATGACTCAAGATGAGACTGTATTGCTTATGAGCTGAACGCTCTCTTCTGTAGCATCATAATTTCATTCGAAAACATTTGAGTTCATTTTGGATTGGTCTTCCACATTCCAATTGTTTGTTTATCATAGTTACAGCTATAACTTTAAAGATTTATGGCAGTCTTTGTTAAAAAAATCATTTTAAATACACCCTATAATGTTCTCACTGAAGTTTTAACAGCAACGTCCACTCAAAGAGCTTCACCAATGGAGACAAAAACAGGCAAGTAAAGTTTAGTGTTAAATTAAAATACGTACCAAAAATTGAAATTCTTTCATAGTGTGTTTATTATAACTCATATACTAACTAATTCTTTTGTAATGTATTTACAGCAGTAATAGCTGCTATTTCCACTACTGAAACCCCAACATCCACCAGAACTGGTAACTTTACTGAATATCAGTAGAACTACATTTAAAAAAAAGAAGTTTTTTGTGACTTCATTAAACACTGTAAAGGCCCATTCACACTGCACTGACAAACGCCCAAAAAATGGCAACAGACACTTTGTTGGGTTTTGTTGGATCAGTGTGTTACTCCTGTTGGCGCCTGTCGCCTCTGCCATTGGTCAGCTCTTGTTTTTGCCGATTTAACATGTTGAGTGTTTGTCGTATAGTGAAATGTCTGAGAAGTGAAGTCTTTAATCTGGTGATTGTTGGCATTGGTCGCCGTCTTTCTGTGCGGTGTGAATTGGCCTTAACACTGCTGTGTATAATCATCATGCTTTGGTCAAATGTGATTTCATTTGAGGTCTTTTCTGATGCAGATGCTCCTAATGTTCACACTTCAACAGATCAAACTGACCGTCCAATCACACCACAGCATCCACAAAACAATGTTTTTTCCTTTTCCTGTTGTGCTTCCATTTTAATTTATTTGATTTAACTGTTGCATGAATTAGATGTTCTCTTTCTAATCTCTGTAAAACATTTACATGCACACAACAAAAATTAAATCTATATACATTTTCTCAATCTTTTGCGTATCACTTCAATTGTCAGGAAGACTGACATATATAAAACAACCAAATTAAACTTTACCATAATGCACATACATAATGTATCAAAGTGTTGGTTTTGTTTTGACACAGGCTTATTGATTATAGTTCTGGTTTCCACTGGTGTTGGTGTCATTTGTTCTGGACTCATCTACCCATGCTGGTTTGCATGTAAGTAAAGATTTCAAACGTGTTCTTTGTTTGTTCTGTATGTACTGGGTTATATGTTGTTCAATATAGAATTTATCATGCAAGCTAAAACGGAACATATAATGCTCATTCATTGTTTTGTAGGTAACAAAAGAAGACATCGGTAAGTTGTTTCATGCATTCAACTCAGTAGTCTGAATTATGACAAAGAGCTTGTTCATGAAGGTTAAATATTCTTTTTATATAAAGTGATATGACTGTTTAATGCAGACTACTTCTGCATTGCATGAAAACATTCTCAGTAGTCTGTGATACAATATCCTGTTGTATATTTTTGTAACCTAGGAACTATGAGTGTAAATGTTTAGCACCTTATCTGATAAATGTATGAAAAGATCAATATTTGATTCTTAGCAATAAAACGAGATCAATAACATCAGATGTACCCAATCAAGGAATTGGTATGGTGAGTATTTGTGCAATTACAATCTTTAAAATAACAAGGTAATCAATATTTATAATACCATAATGAGTAAGAATGGCTGAAAGGGACAGCTATATAATTCATTAATTTTTTTTAGAGTTGTTCTGGACCTGCAGAGACATATTCTCTGATCACTTCTGTACCAGCCACATCTCAGCCCATCTCTGTAGGTGAGAGAACATCATTCTCAGTAAATTATATCAGTTAAACAAAAACACGATATAGTGACCACAGCTTCTCAGAAACTAGAACCATTTCCTCTTTCAAGTCTTCAGCATTATTAGCCACATCTTTTCTTAAAGCTGCAGTTCTAGCGGTTAATAAACAGAACCGCATGCGTCTCGTGGAGGAACATTGTAGCTGGAGCTACTTCTCAGTTTAGAGTCACGCAGGCCTGGGCTACTCCGCAGCGGTAAGACCCATACCAGTCTAAAATAGTCTAAAATAGTAACAAACACTTACTATAGGTGTACCGTAGTGATTCAGGATAAGACAAAAACACGGTTTGGAAAATTGATTCATGATGTACTCGCTTATTATATAAATTTAGTACATTTTGAACACAAAAAAAGTTGAGGACTGCAGTTTAAAAGAACAGTTTCATGACAAAATTAACATAATTTATTCACTTTCCTGCTGTTTCAAACCCATAGAGTCTTTCTTTCTTCTGTGGAACACAAAATGAGCTATTTTTTTTACACTGCCTATACAGTAAAATCAGCACTTTTAAAGGGCTGTCGAGCTTCTATAACTCTTTCAGTCTTAATTTAAAGAACATATTCCCTTACGGTTTAAGGGTACATTTAGCCTACAATACAACAATGTGCTAAAAGTTTTTCGTGTAGAGATGACAACAATGTCAAAAAGATCCCCGTTCACACGGATCCGAGAAAACATCTAAAAACGCTGTATTATGCTGCCAGGCCAGTAGTTGTAAAGGTTACTTTGTAAAGAAACAGTATGCGCCTATAGACTGAACGACGTCACCGTTGTCACAAATTAGCATTTTTACACATAGACAGTAACGGTATCATTTTCAAAAACTTGAACTTTGAAATCCATTTAATCCATAATCCATTTCAAAAGTTTGCTTTTTCAGGCCCCCAAAACATGTTATGTAAATGAACAGCCAAAATGTGTTTAAACGGCTCCTTAAAGTGCCCCAAAAACCTCTGTAGTCCCATTTAGTCACTTGTTAGCAACTGCCCTTTTTCAAGACAAGAAAAATCTTCAAAAGTTAAAAAAAATCCAAGGGGGTTTACTGACATATAATGTCATAAATAAAATGTGAAAAAAATCTTGGGCTTGTGTAAACCAAAGACCTTATTTCAGGCATTTAACCAAAAACCCATTTAAAAAACATTTGATTTTCATTTCCGGGTTTTGGCGACAAAAATACAAAAATTCACAACTCAACATTTCCTCACTAGTCCAAAAACAGCATTTTTGATGCTCACATGTAAGCATTGAGAAACTTTGCCCACTCAATCACAATGAGCTCATACGGAGGAAGTGGGACAAATATTAAATTCATCACAACACTGTTGCACAGAATGAGTCTGAGAAGAGATCATTCTGCTGCATGTGCAAAGTGTCAAAGCTTAAAATACATTCAAGTTTTATGACAAAGAGCTTGTTCATGAAGGTCAACAAGGGATATGACGCTTCTGCATTGCATTACAGGTGTTTTAGTCAATAAACAACAGAAAGAGGAAAATACAACGGAAAATGAGGTATGTGTGAACACGTCACACCACAAACCCACATAATCGAATGAGACGTCCATCATGAACCGAATGCCAAGACATTTATCCTGTGTGTCTTTTCTACTTTTCTGTTTTATTCCTTAAGAATGTTTACCACCTGTACTGCACAATTCCTGACGAACCAGTTCACTCAAAGGCAGGATGAGATCAAGTCTACAGTTGGGGGAATCACTGATGAGCCTCTGTTGTTTCATTATGTAATGTTACAGTATTATATCCATTATAAAGCAAGTTATCTTTAATTGCAGAAAACAAATGGTGCTTACTTTCGTCATTCAGTGTTAGTGTGGAGCCACTTATAATATTGAACTTAAAATATTAAAAATATTATTACAATTTATTTTTAACCATCCCTGTCTGATCTAATTTTAATTGGTGGCTCCTTTAAGGCTTGTCACCACTAACGTCCTTTCATTTTTTATTCTTTTGGTGTTGTTTTTGTATTCTGTTATCTGTTATTATTTGTGTATTGTGTTAAGCATTAAAAGAAAAGAAAAAAGTATCAACAAAAGTATCAACTTTGCCAAAAAAATATCCATATAAAACCGTTATACACAAGACATTGTTTACTTACAGTTTGGGTTGTAGCTGCTGTCAGATCCAATCCGGTGTCATCAATCTATGCATCCAATAGGCTACAGTTGAAAGTTCATATTTCAACAAAAGTTTTAGTGCTAACTCTCCACACGGTGCCTTCCTTTAAAAAAACGCAGTAAAATGCTCTGAACAAACATAATTCTTCGACCCGATCCAGGTAGCCAATAAAAATAAACCATCCACTTGTTCCTGTGGAAGGTGTCCTTCTGAAGTCTGTACAGAAACGAAAATGCTGTTTAAACATTCTAAGCAATGTTCTTTTACTCGTCCTTGTCAGTAGCGCATGGAGTAGGCTACATCCTAAATTTAAAGGGTAGGCTATCTGTATATTGTATCTATCTACTGTAGACAGCGTGAGCTATTATAAATGGCTTCCATTTGCTTTTGACACGACGCGAGTCGCGACGTTTGTGTCTCGTGAAGACAGGTGTCAGCCGAGAGAGTAAAGGCCAATTTATACTTCTGCGTCGAGTGTACGCACGTAGGCAACGCCGTCATGAGCATTTATACTTCTGCGTTTAGGTCTGCGTTGCTCTGCAGTACAGCGCCGAAACGCTAGTTGGCGGCGGAGGGTTTTAATGTTCCACTGTGTTTAGATTCCTCGCGGCAAGAAGAAGAAGATTCCTCGCGGCTGTTTTGAGTTTAGGTTACTACAAGCAATGGCGACTGAAAGAGAGCAGATCATGTTGGAGTTGGAGCTTATCGAGGTGGAAAAGGTAAATTTTTAGTTTTTTTAACAGTTTCGCTGTACTTAGAATTTAAAAATGGCGGGCGGTGCAGAAGAACACGCCGGAAATGCATAGGAGGAAACGCGATGCTACCAAGCCGACCAATCACAGATCTTGCGGTCTGCGTCGTCGCGACGTGTAGTTACATTTTTGAGGAGGTGCGCGTCAGGTTACGGCGAAGGGTACGGCGTATGGTAGGCGTCTGTGCGTATGCTACGCCGTACCTACTGCGCGCACCCGACGCAGAAGTATAAATTGGCCTTTAAGCGCCAGCTGTGGGCGGGGCCAGGGCCGGATTAACCATTAGGGCAACTGGGCACTTGCCCAGGGGCCCACGACATCTAAGGGGCCCTGGGCGGAGTGGCAATCGGGAGAGTCGGGAGTTTCCCCGGTGGGCCGGTAGTGTTTCGAGGCTGCAAGGGCCGGTCTGATAAAATGTATTTTAGAGAACGGTGCGTATATTTGCACTAAGTGCCTGTGTTTTTACCAAAAAGACGCCCGTCACGGAATAGCTGCAGTGGCTTAGGTCGTAACGCGTGGAGTGCTTGAATGCAGCTTTTGATGTGCTCGACCCGAGTTCGAATCCGCCTTTTGCCGAACTCTCTCTCCCTTTTCCCAACACATATGAGATGTAAAATCTATAACCTAACATAAAGGTCTCAAGCGTTATATTTTGCCAACGAACTAAAATCGAAACCATGATATGGCTTTGTGCCTTTATAAAACAGCATAAGACTTTAAGAATAGACATCCTGTTTGTGCTGCGTGATTAAAAGAAAAGTGCGCTCTTTGCTCATGCGATCAGCATGGTTATCTGGTGTTTTCTCCTAAATAAAAGCTCAAGGGTTTATTTCTTGCAAGTGAAGAAATTAGGACAAAAGTATTTTAATTTTCCTGTATTATAGTGTAATGTAGCCTAAAATATACTTTTGAAATATTCATTTTCATTTATATAGTACATTTTATAGGCTATATGGATTTTACGTCATAGGAATAATTATATAAATCAGTATTACATTATTATAATAATTGTTTGGCATCCTAAAACACCAGTGATGATGTAATGTAGACTTAAGACTCTATATATCATAACTAAAAAGATGTTTGAGCCCTCTTTATTGTCCTGGTACAAATCAATGCTTTTTCTATGTTCAATGAGCAGTTCATGGGTTGAAGCTAATTTTGATCTCTCAAAGAGCACGAGATTGATGCATTTAACCTTAAAATGTACAAAATTTTCTTGAGGGGGAGCATGCCCCCGAACCCCCCTAGAGGCACAGAGGTCCACCCAACATAGTTTTACAAATTCCCATGGGAAAGAACGACCATTTATGAACTTTAATCTAGCATAGTACAACAAAGTTCCTTTTAAGTCAGTAAAACTGTAAATGCAATATTAAAATGGACAAAATATACATTTGGCTTGCCTAAGGGGGGCCCTACAAGACATTGTGCCCAGGGGCCTCTGAACTCTTAATCCGGCCCTGGGCGGGGCCTATGGTCCGATGATGTAAACCGATTCGTTGATGTCTTGCAGTCATAATGCAAATATATTCGCCCATGTGACGCCAGATCACACAATATCATAATTAAATTAATAAATGCTTTGTTTATACTGAGGACGTTTTAGGCTATGAAACAAAAATCAAATTTGATATAATCTTGTCATGTCATCTTGACCCTTTAACTGTAAAATACTGTCAAATATATGGGTCTTGGAAGTAAAAACAATGAATTATCATAGATTATCATGAATTATATGTATTTATGGTGAAAAACAGTAAAAGGACAAGTCCCTGAGTGACATCTCTTACGATTAGGCCTGGCTTTTATTTTATATAGATTTGCTTATTAATTTTTGCTATGAATAATGTACATTTAAGATGTTTTGTGTTACATTTTAAGTTATTTAGTTAATGTTTATTGCATTGTTTTAGTGTATTTGTGTGTATGACCCTGTGCACCGTTTAAACATGAGTATTGGCTGTATTTTATGGACAGGTCACTCTGATTCATCATGTGACTTTCTGTTTTACCACCTGTAATATCATTGTTGTTATCAGTAGGCCTACATTTATCATTACAAAATAAAAGCTGATTTTGGTAATTCAAGTAAATTGGTATACCATTAATTGAATATTATACATTTTACAAAATATAAGCACCAATATGCCATACTGTAAACAAATACTCTCACAGTATTAGTTAAAGTGATTTTATTTACATAAGATGGCTTTACTTTGATGTAAAGAGATAAGGCAAAACACATTCTAAAACTGTTGTTGACTGTTATAAATATCATCTATCATCCTAATCCAGACATCACAAAGATGATTTTGTCACTGAAGACTGCTAATGATGCTGAAAATTCAGCTTTGATCACAGGAATACATTTAATTTTAAAGTAGCTATATTCAAATAGAAAACAGTTATATTAAATTGTAATATTTCACAATATTACCGTTTTGTTGTTGTTGTTCTATTTTTAATCAGATAATTGTAACCTTGGTGAGCATAATAAGAGACTTCTAAAAACATTAAAAAGTCCTGTCGTTCCCAAACTTTTGAACTGCAAAGTATTTGTGAAACATTAATAAAGTAAAGCGTTTCTGATATGTACAACGTTTTACGATATGCTGTAGTATTGATACCAGTAGCCTGCTATAATTAAGGTGGTATTTCCAAACTAAATGGACTCTGTGACGTTATTGAATTCTCTTTGCCGATTCAGTGGCGACCTCTACTGGTGAAACTCTGAAAACAGCCACAGAATCTACAGCTCCTGCCAGGTGGAAACATCTCTTTTATGCTTTTCTTCACTTGTTGCACCTCTTGTTGCAGATTTTTTTTTAATATGTACAGAAATAATGATACAATATGTTGGCTGCTGTATAGCTATTAAATAAATATATTGATCAGCAAAGCCAAGGCAGAATCTGTGGATCTAATATAGAAATAAGGGAACATATCACACCCACCGCTGGTTTAAGCAAGGCGTAAAATTCATGCATGTGAAGCTGTGACCAATGACATCGTCAAATTTGTGCTGAAAAGGTTGTCAACAGTAGATGGCGAGTTTGATGCAGAAAGGAAAGGGCCGACTATGAATTTTTAGCTCATAGTTAAGCTCAGCAGCCATTCTGGATCTTCTCTACAAGCAGATGCAGCAAAAGAGGCTGCATACAAGATTATGCAAATGGAAAGACAAGAAAAGAAAAAAAAAAGAACTCAGAAAAGAGCTTGAAACTCAAAGGTTTGAATTAGAACGGCTGCAGATATAAAAAAAGGATCTAGAGTGGTGCTTTCAAACTCAGTTCCTGGAGTGTCACAGCTCTAGGCAAGGCAAGGCAAGTTTATTTATATAGCACATTTCATACACAATGGTAATTCAAAGTGCTTTACATAGAAGAAATTAAAATAATCAAAACAAATAAGAATAATTAAAACAGTTTAGAATAAAAAATAAAATAAAGTAATACTGGTCCACGCCAATTTGGGTCACAACTTCTTTTATTTTTCTCTCGGAATCGTTCCTGATGCATCCCTGGCAAACAACCCTATTTTTTGTTAGTATCCCTAACTGCCTGATTCACTAAATTCGGGGATCCCCTATCTGAGATGGAAGAGATTGAGCCGGTTTACGGTGCCACTGGACCTCTAGCCCAGGGACGTACTCTGCTGGGGTGGTGCTACACCAGTAATGCCCAGCGGGGGCCCCGTCTGCTGGCGTTACCCTTAACGACGCTCTCAGCGACTTATACTCTCAGCAGTATAATTAACTTACTCCTTCATTCGCCTCATCGGAGTGAAGACTCTCCCGCTCTCCTTCAAAATCTCTTCCAGAGATTATAAAAAAGTATATAAAAAGAATAAAAAGCAGTAAAGCAAAACAGTCGGACGAACAGTGGCACAGTGCTCATTCAGTAAATCCTAATGATCTGAGTAATCTGTTAGGTTTATATTCAGTAAGCATATCTCCAATATATAACCCATTGAATGATTTATATATAGCTCTACAGAGTTTAACTCCAACTAATCTTGTTGGATGCTTCTAGTAATCCTGAAAACCTTGATTAGCTGGATCAGGTGTGTTTAATTCAAGGGGGTAATCCATCGACCGGAAGTTGAAGCCGGCCGGGTGCCGCCATGTTGTAGCAGAACTTCACTTGCGTTAGCATTTCCATTGACTCCCATTCATTTTGGCGTCACTTTGACAGCGAATAACTTTACATCTGAGGCGTTTAAAGACTCCATTTGTCCATTATTTATTTCTAAAGAAACACGACAATGTATAATGGGCTCCATTACCTTCTATGTTACATTTTGGCCCCGTAGAAACAGTTTTAGTAAAAATAGGCTAACGATTGCGTCATTACCACTCGACTCTCTGTCGCGCTGTACAGAAATTACCGTACAGACAGGAGGAGAAGCTCGCAGGCAATCGGGGGGACGCCCCGTCAAGGGAGAAGCCCATAGATAATGAGTCCATAAAAGCAACGGAATTCTTACTCCTGCTCACTCACGCCAAAGAACTCTTTGCTCAAGTTCCCCGTCTCTGCAAGATTAACGTTGGCAATTTTCACGCACAGCTACTAGAAGATTAACGTCTGTCAGCCAGGTTGCTCACGTCATCAAGCTTAGTTTGAGTCGGTTTGAGTCTGCGCGTCAGGAACGGAAGTGCTGAAAAATCGCTAAAAATGGGCTTCAACTGTCTCAACTGAGTTCCAATGAGATGGCTCTGTCCACTTCTTATACTGTCTATGGTTTAATTAGGTCTGGAGCCAAAATGTGTAGCTGTGGCCCTCCAGGAACCAGTGATTTAGAGCAGTGGTTCTCAAACCTGTCCTGGAGGACCCCCAACACTGCACGTTTTCTTTGTCTCCCTAATCAAACACACATGATTCAACTCATCAGCTCATTATCACATAGTGATAGGTTTGAGAACCACTGATTTAGAGGTCGCTCTAGTAAAATCATATGAAGAAATAAAAGAAGAGACAAATAGTCAGTCAACAGAATGAACATGAAAGTCAGAGAAACGAAATCTCCCCTACAACACATCAGCAATACAATGTTGTCCAGTCAACACCTCTCAGTGAGTCTCACCTTGCTCAAGCAGTTCAGGACAGCATAGCCATCAACAGGTCACCCATACCTGAGCCCACGTTCAGCAGACCCAATTTAGTTTGTGGACTGGAAAGCCACATTTCTGTCTCTTATAGAGAGGGCATCTCAGCAGCTGATGAAATCTATTATTCAAAAAATGTGAGTGGCTCAGCACACAAATATCTTAAAGGCACCAGAGTGCTAGCTCACAGGCAAGCCATTCTAGGTAAAGATGCTGAATCTTATGCTATTCTAACACATTTAGGATAGAGTATTGTGGGCTGCTCTACACCAGGCATCAATGAGTCAACAGAAGTCAGTTTTTGCCACAGAATAGCCACAAAGGAGATACCAGCTTTGACACCTGTGGAGGCAATCCGTGTACTTGAGTCAGACTTTAAGAATGTCACAGCAGATGACAAGACAATCTCTCAAGATGATATCACGTTTCTAGACAATCTCAAAGAAGGCATAAAGAAAAATGCTCAAGGACATTATGAAATGCCTCTTCCGTTCAAACAACGACAATTCTTACCTGACAACAGAGAGCTTGCCAAAGTCAGACTCAATCATTTGAACAAGAAGTTCTGTAGAAACGCGAAATACAAGACAGACTACATTACTTACTGTGCATGAACGACGTCATTGAGAGAGGTGATGTAGAAACAGTGAATGATGATGGAACTGATGGTGAAAAGTGGTACATACCTCATCATAGCATCTACCATCCAAAAAAAGCCAGACAAGCTATGGGTCGTTTTTGATTGTTCCAAGAAATTGAAAGGTACAAGTATTAATGAACATTTTTTGTTATCAGGACCAGACATGATAAACAATATCACAGGTGTCCTTGTGAGGTTCAGAAGATATCCTATAGCTGTAATAAGTGACATCGAAAAAATGTTCCACCAGTTCCATGTCCAAGAAAATGACGGGGATTACTTGCGCTTCTTGTGGTGGCAAAACTAAAGCCTCGTGCACAAAACAACCAAACGTTCCCAATTGACTTCCATAGAATGGAAAAAAAATGGAAGTCAATGGCTACTGTCAACTGTCTGGTTACTGACAATCTTCAGAATATCTTATTTTGTGTTCAACAGAAGAAAGAAATTCATACAGGTTTGGAACAACATGAGGTTGAGTAAAGGATGACAGAATTGACATTTTTGGGTGAACGGTCCCTTTACACGATAGATTGAATCGTTTGAAGACTACGCAGTGTGCACGAGCGCCAACAGAACACTGTTTCCTTCCGCTGTTCTAATGCCTGTGGCCCAGAACTGCCCTCCAATACTGCGTGAATACAGCTGAACATGTGGTCTTACACGTTCATCTTTATAGTTCTGACTGCACAAGCATTAAATGGTTGTGGTCTAATGTGTTACTTCCTAATTCACCTGTGTGAGTCTCGTTTCTTTTCTCACTCTCGCTGTAATGGAGTTGTTCATCTTCATTGCTTTTCAGCTTCTTATGGAGGTTCAGACTTACAGTAAGTGATCTTTGTCATTTAATTATTATTATTATTATTATTAGACTTTATTGTCCACCTTGGTGGAAATTTGTCTTCGACTTCTCCAAACATATATGCATCAGTGACACAACAGTTAAAATGACAAAATACACACAGTTTAAAAGAATGACACTACCACCGTCAACATACAACAACAGAAAATGGAAAGCAGCGCAGCCGATTAGAAGTTATATAAAACACAAAGACGCTTTCAGTTTAAATTAAGTTCCTGTATGGCATGGGGAATAAAGGATCTCTTATAAATGTTCCGGCTCGCCCTTGGGACCCTGAATCTACGGCCAGATGGGAGCAACTCAAACTCTGAGTTGAGTGGGTGTAGGGTGTCTGCTGATATCTGTCTGGCCTTCCTGAGTACCGCCCTATCATACATATCCCCAAGCTGCCTTTGTGACTTGCCAATCAGCTTCTTTGTTATTAGGCCCTGGGACATAAACAAGAATAATGGTGATTTGCCCAAACTCCCGCGGAAGGTAAAACGGCCTGATAGATACAGACAGCAGCTCATAGTCTCTAGTGCACACTCTCTTGAGTACTTTGAATTGTGAAGCCCAAGCGCTGTCAATAAACATACAGAGTCCTCCCCCGATGGATTTTTGAGATGACACCTTATCACGATCTGCTCTTATAACTGTAAATCCCTCCATATCAATGCAAGTGCTGTCCTCGTGAAGCCATGTCTCTGTGAAGCAGAGCAAATTACTCCTCCGAAAATCCTCATCAAACCGGAGACGTGTTGTGATCTCATCCAGTTTATTATTTAATGATCTGCCGTTTGACAGAGTTATGATGGGAAGCGGGTGTCTGTTTCCTCGCCTTCTCAACCTGTTACGAACGCCCCCCCTCGAGCCTCTTTTTTTCCTTTTCCTACCTTGGGCTTTTCCATGAGGGGTTGATGATACGTGATTTAAGTCCACAGACACAGCTTTATTCCGTAGGGCAAGAAGAAAATCCCTCGAGTATGTAATCAGTGGCGACGTTCGTTCACTTCCTTCATTGTTCCCGGCTAGGGCAAAGTTCTCTCTAACGACAGCATATAGGATAAAAAAGATCACCACTGCGCGCAAGTAATCCATTTCCATGTTGCTTAACTCAAGGACGTGAACAAAACAAAAGTTTACAACACGATTAACGCCGAAAATTCACCAACAACAAACAAACGAACGGAGAAGCACAGGGTCAGCAGCCGTGCCGCGCCCCAATATTCCCAAAAATTAATGTTAATTTAACACTGAATGTCCACATTTGTAGTGAAACAACGTTTTTCTAAAATATTTCAGCATGTGTGATCAGTATGTTTATGTTTTAGTAGAACACAGCAGACACATGAACCTCTGCTTTTAGGAAGTTTTACTTTAGCCAAGAAAATTTATTTAACTGATTGCAGTAACCTCATTAATTCATTAATTGGAATTTTGAGTCACGTAAAAACCATATTTGGAATATCCACTGCACAAGAGAATTCATTTACATCTGCACGTTTATATAAAAGTTATTCTTTGGTACTACTGTATATATGGTGATAAAAAGCTAGAATCAGGGGAATGACATTTTTGAAGAGCATGAAAAAGTGACAAATATGATTAAAGACCCCCTTTGGTGAAAATGACGTTTTTAATGTTGTTTATGTCTATCTGGGGTTTATAATTTTAAGACAAACCATGTGCAAATTCACCAGCCAACAGTATTTTGTCCTTAAAACTGCAGTGAACCAAAGAAGACAGTCTCAAAAACACAATTAGAAACCACCCATTTTCTACCTTCACAAACGTAATGAATCCTGTAAACGTGCAGTGCGCGGCTTTTCCTATTCTATAACTCTGTGGGCATTTTACACCGTGAGAACAAAATAAATCCATAGCTGCCAACTCTCACGCATTGGCCGTGAGACACCCGCATTAGATTGGTTTCACACGCTCACACGCCACACTCCCGATTTCTCACGCTGAAGTGTCAACCCGGGCGGTCAAATGCCTGGAAGATGAGTTTATCTATATATCTACCTGTTGAGCCACTCGTGATCGACTAGTTATACCGCAAATTCGCTAAAAATCTCCCGTTATCTAGAGCGAGCGTGCATGCGTGACAGAGATTGTGCTCCAAACCGCGTAGAGCGAGCGAGAGACGCGAGAGACCTTGCGCGAGCGAGACCCCGTCCCCCCCCCCCAGTCAACAAATCTCACTCGTCTCTTAAGGGATGAAATTATTAACTTAAAATCAGTTAACCTCTTGCCCCAAATGTTCCATTAATTTGGGTGCTGCTGCAAAGACATTTATTCAATTCAATTCAATTCAAATTTATTTGTATAGCGCTTTTCACAATACATATTGTTTCAAAGCAGCTTTACAGAAAGTGCATTTCAGAAATGTACATGGAAGAATATAGTTAGTTAATCATCATGTATTAATTTAGGGCATAACATATCGCCGGCGTTGAGTCGTCTCTTCACAGGCGTCGAGTCGTCTCATCGCAGGTGTTGGAGCATCTGAAGTCTCCGTGAGAGGCTGGATACAAAACTGGAGCTGACGAACGCTATTTACCTCGGGACTAGCGTCCCGAGATAACAGCAGAAAAGCAGATGGGAAATAATTAGCGTAGCTGCTGTTCATAATATTAATGCAGTCGATCTGATTCAACAGTGTTATAAAAGGTAAGCATTATGTGAATGCTTGGCTGAAGAGATGCGTCTTTAATCTAGTTTTGAACTGGGAGAGCGAGTCTGAGCCACGAACAGTATCAGGAAGGCTATTCCAGAGTTTAGGAGCTAAATGTGAGAACGCCCTCCCTCCTTTAGTGGACTTAGATATCCTAGGAATGACCAGAAGCCTCGAATTTCGGGATCTTAAAGAACGCGATGGATTGTAGGGCGATAGAAGGTCCATTAAATACACAGGAGCTAAACCATTTAGGGCTTTATAGGTCAGTAGTAGTACTTTGTAATTGATACGGAACTTAATAGGTAACCAGTGCAGAGATGATAGAATCGGTGTTATATGATCATATTTTCTTGACCTAGTAAGAACTCTAGCGGCTGCATTTTGGACTAACTGTAGCTTGTTTATTGAAGATGCAGGACAACCAGCTAATAAAGCATTACAGTAATCTAGTCTCGAGGTCATGAATGCATGAACTAACTTTTCTGCATCAGAAACAGATAGCATGTTACGTAATTTAGCAATGTTTCTAAGGTGGAAAAAGGCTGTTCTTGTAACATACGAAATATGATTTTCGAAAGACAAGTTGCGGTCTAGTATAACACCCAGGTCTTTTACTGTAGTCGATAAGGTAACAGGACATCCTTCTAAATTAAAGTTGTATTGTAGGAGATTTTGTGGGTAGTTTTTTGGACCAATAAGTAATACCTCAGTTTTATCTGGATTTAGTAGCAGGAAATTACACGTCATCCAGCATTTTATATCTTTAAGACATTCTGTCAATTTAGATAAGTTAGTGTATTCATCTGGTCGTGATGAAATATATAATTGAGTGTCATCAGCATAGCAGTGGAAATTAATTCCATGTTTTCTTATAATATTACCAAGTGGCAGCATATATATTGAGAATAGCAGAGGGCCTAACACCGATCCTTGATTTATGAGTTTAAATTTGTTTAAAAGTTTAACCAAAACATGGACCATGATTGGAAAAGTATGCATGGAAAAGTGGTCAGTAAGATGTAATGTAGGGATTGATCTGTTTTTGTTATTTCAGAATCTCCTGCTGTAAAAGTTTTTCCAGATGTGCTAAGAGAGTCCAGCTCAGTGAAGATGATCTGTGAGACGCCAGCAGATGTTACAGTGAAACAGTGTCATTTCTACAGAAACCGTGAACAGGAGAATAATAAAGTCAGTCCATCATGTAAACTCGAGCTCACTGGTGCTGAAGTGCTCAGATGGGCAGATGTAAAATCACCTGCATCAGTCGACATTTACTGCTTCTACATAATAACTGAGAACGGGATTAATAAACCATCACCTCATTCTCCTGCTGCTACAGTGACGGTTCTAGGTAAGAGATTTCACTGCTGTTCTTTTGCCTTACAAACTGTTATTGCAATGTTTTTAATAACTCTGGATTATTTCACTTTAGGTTCACTTCAGAAACCCAACATCAGTGTTAATGTTGATGATTTCCAGATCAACATAACCTGTGAAATACCACTTTCAGTCAGAGCTTATTTCCCCTGTAGTCTCTATACTGAGGATGTTCTTCTGCACACACGCATCTCTCAGATTCAGAAGAGTCCGTCTGGAGAGAATCATTGTATGTTTTATTTAACTCAAAATGAACTCTTCACACGATCAGTGAACAGCAGAAATCTGAGCTGTGATTATTACATCAACACTGAACCTGAGATCAGATCACCGCGCAGTGACACACACACCATCAGAGGTGAGGACTTTTTACTGTAAACATTTTTTAACATATGAGCACTTTTAATCAGAGACAAATGTATAGTTCTTAAGCCAATAGGATTTATGTGGGTCATTAGAACATGAAAGTTTGATCAATAAAAGAAAAAGGAACACCTTGCCTCTAGAGATTAGAACGGCCCCTACCCTGTCTGCCAAATCTGTTAAAAATCAAGCATGCGTTAGTTCAGGCAGGCCACGTCAGCCAAGTTCGCATCAGCTGATAGCCAGCTGTTCATGACGTGTTCCAATCAATGTCGACATCTATCACAGCGGCACATATAAACTCCCATTTCTTTAGCATTTCCTCCATAGCATCGCTGCTTGCATTAAACTCCCTCCTCCAACCCCAACTCCTCCCACGAACAGTTTTGTTTTTGTTTTTCCTGTACAGTCATACATTGCAAGCTTTATCATGTATTTGTATTTTTACAACTCATGTAATTGAGTATTTCAATATGCATGCATTTACTGGTTCTGTTCTGTACCCCAGGGGGGTTTGTTTGACTTGCTCTCCCCGCTCTGTCCAGGCATAGCAGCATGGACAGGCGTAGGAGTTTTTGCCCAGAACAGAACCATACTGCCAACACTAACTGTATGCTATAATTGCAATACATTTATATATACTTGGTAAAGTGGTCCAACCTGTTTTCTTTAGCATATTGATCTCTTTTCTCAGGTTGGTTTTACTATATTTGAGTCTGATAATGTTTTGCTACTCGTGTTTTAAGGTTGCTCTTAGCTTTGCTGCTTTTATTTGTGTTTTATGTGTTATGCAGGTATTATTTTCTTATTATTTATATGGTTGTTCTCTAAAGCACTTTGGTCAGTGGCTGTTGTATATGTGCTATATAAATAAAATAACCTTGAAATTGTAGGTTCTTCTCAGACAAACGCTTTACCAGTGTGACTTCAGCAAGAGAACTATCTGATATATTTAGGCAGGAAGGAAGAGTCGCTTCAGCTGATCATGTCAGAGAGCTAGACAATGTCCGACACATCTATAGAAAGAAGCTTGTTTCTGCACATCTAATATGAAGGTGAGAGGAGAAACGGCAAGCAAATTATTTAATATTTTAAAAGTTTCTTTGCACATTTTTATTGGGCCATTCCTGTTCTGCAGCACTTCTTGAACTTTTTTTTATCAATACACAAATGAATACACTTGTATTGAAGTAGAAGTATCTCAATTTAATATCTTTCAGAAATATGCTCTGATCTGGTTAAGTCAAGTCAAGTCAAGTCACATTTATTTATATAGCTCTTTTTACAATACAGAGGGCCCTATCATACACCCGGCACAATGGAGCGACACAAGTGTTTTCTGCTAGTTTCCGCCTGACGCAGTTATCATTTTCACGTCCTGTTGTTTAAATAGCAAATGCATGTGCGCCCATGGGCTGCTGATCTGAAAACGATGTGTGTTCAGGGCAGGCGCATTGTTGGCACATTGCTATTTTGAGGCAACTGAAACAGACCAACAAAAACCTGGTCTAAAGTCAATGGTGGAAATTTTTTTTAAGAGCGCGTTAGTAATGTGCGCCTATAGGTGGGTCCACAACGCACGTACACTCTGCTTATTACACACACATGGATGCGCAGCAGCACACAAACATGCAAATATTACAAATAAAAGGATTATAATGTAAAAGATTATTATTGTGCACATAAGATGGTGGAATCCGGCTTGTCCCGTAGATGGTCTGCTTGCACGCTTTAACCTCGCGCACGAGCATACCTTTTTCGCTCTGGAGACGCATTCTTTCTTTCCATATCAAATTCCATCATGTGAACTGCAAATCTGCCTGGTCGCAAGCGCAACTGGCATTTAAAGGGAATGGGAGATGAGACTCTGATTGGTTTATTGCACGTAAAGCCCAAAACACACCCATTACTCATTAAGAGAATAGGGACAACCCTTTTAGACCATTTTCCGTCATTAAACTAGCAAAAGTGAATTCGGATAGGCCCTACGCCCTAACTGCACTTCTTTTCTTTTTTTTCAGAAGAGTCACCTGCTTCTATTTCTAGATGAATACATTATTTTTTTCCCCGTTTTTGCTCATTAGGTCTTCCTCAGGCCAACTTAACAACATCTGCATCAGTTATTAAGGAAACAGACACCGTTCAGCTGAGCTGTGAGAATACTGAAGATCTAAAGATGGAGATGTGTGTCTTTAACATAAATGGAAGAGAAAGTTTCTCAGAACTGAGCTCATCATGTCAGCTCTCACTCACTGGATCTCAGATCAGTATTTGGTCAGAAGGTCAGAGTTCATCTGTGAGAATAACCTGCTTCTACATTGTGAAGAAGTCACAAGTTCAAACACCATCTCCTCACTCCGATCCAGTGACAGTAACAATCCAGAGTGAGTCTTGAGATTTATATATTGATAATGTTTAAAAATGTATTGATGTGTTACATCAACACAGCTGGTAGGTTAAGTTACTGATAACACTTTTTGTTGTTATTCTGGATTATAACTGATTCATCTTGCAATAAATTATTTTTATATTATTAATTAGACCTCCAGTCAAACTTGCCATCCAGCACATCAGAGGAAACCATGTGTAAGTTCATACACTCTTCCTCAATGGTAAAAGTGACTGTAGAATTAATATGTTGGATTTAAAAGTCAGATTTAAAAAATATAACAAACTGCCCTGTGAAAGTTTTCACAAATCAGAAAGACCAAGTTAACCACTCAGGGAAGGGTTAACTGACCCAAACTGACTTGTGAAAGTTTTCACAAATCAGAAAGACAAAGTTAACCACTCAGGGAAGGGTTAACTGACCCAAACTGACTTGTGAAAGTTTTCACAAATCAGAATGACCAAGTTAACCACTCAGGGAAGGGTTAACTGACCCAAACTGACTTGTGAAAGTTTTCACAAATCAGAATGACCAAGTTAACCACTCAGGGAAGGGTTAACTGACCCAAACTGACTTGTGAAAGTTTTCACAAATCAAGCCTAATCTAAAACAAGTGTGTTTGTAAACCAGCGGTGTGTGTTTTTTTTTATATAATTTGGTATTATACATTGTTAAACATGAAAAACGCCAATTTTCCACATTCCGGTCTAGCGGACTTAGCGAACTGTTTACAGACAAAAGCTTTGCTGTGAAAAAATTCACAAATCTAGAATGTCAAGATGACACTGGGTTCAGGTTTCTAAGTGACCTACTTTTGGAGCTATACCCAATTTAAAATTAAAATTCAGAAAAAAAAACACTGATTTCGGACAGGAGTAACCCTTAACACGAATTCACAAATCACGAATAACGAAATGAGATATTATTTGCATGTCTACGACACCGCACTGCGGGACCACAGCTAAAATAAATCAGAATATCAAACCGCAAACTATCTTTACTCCGGTCAAATACCGTGAGTTTCACAGGAGAAATAACAAAACGGGAGGGGGGCGGGAGATGGGTGTGAAATACGGGAGACTCCCGGGGAAAACGGGAGTGTTGACAGTATGGTTTATATACAACTAATCAACTCATCTCATTTGGTTCAGTAATGTCCTCATTGAAACCTGTACCTGTAAACCTGTACATATTAGTAAGAAAAAAGGTATTTTTGTATATAAGGCTCTGTAAACAACAATACTGTCTTGACGTTTGCTTTAATACTGGTAAACTGTCTTTACAGTTTCAACATCAGCTACCACTGCACATTTTACAACAACCATGAAAACCTGTAAGTAATTTAGTTTGTAAAATCAAAATAAATTATTCTTATTACACCTTGAATGATGTGATAATTGGTATATTTGCTGCTGATAAGCTGGCTACTGATAACACTTTTTCTGGTTATTCTGAATTAAAGTGAAAATGATTCCCTTCTCAAAAGTGATTGTTATATTTGTAGACTTACTTTCCAAGTCAAACCTGCCAACCAGCACAAAAAAGAAAACCACGTGTAAGTTCATCCACTCTTCCTCACTTGTAAAATCACTATACAGTATGTTGGATTCATAGTCAGATAAAAAAAAATATATGACTCACTTTGTGTCGATCACGTTTGTTTACACACTGCCTCCGAAACTTTCGTCCGTCATAAAAAAATCAGATCGGGTAGGCCTACTTTCTGCGTTTTTCCACATCCGTAGCAAGTAGCTATTTTAAAGTCCCCATGAAATCAAAATTGACCATACTTACTTTGTTTGCCTAAATTGATCGTTTTGTGGTGAACAATTCATCCATGCAAGTCAATCCAAAAAAATAAAAATTTTGGCTTCGTAATCTTTAATCAAATTTTGAAAATGCCCCTCCCCTCTGCATTGCAGGACCTTGCCCGATGACGTAGGCTTTACGGTTTGGGTGTCTGCTTAACATCCATAACCACGCCCCTCCAACTGACAGTAGACAGGCTGAATGAAAACACCTACTTTTCTAGATCCAGTCAGGTGCTAGTTGGAAAAAAGCCACGCCCACTATTTTGCCTCATTTAGTATTCCGTTTCTCTCGGAAATACGTCACAACACTGGAGAAAAGTCGTTTGCAACTTCCGGTTCACGGGGACTTTAAGGGCATTAAATAACATAATTCGAGCTACATCGACAACTTTGAGGGTGAGTAATCTCTCATATCATGCGAAATCCGACTAGCGAATCAGTTTCTAAAATTGTTGTCTCGTTTCTGAGAAAATGAATTTTATTAAAGTTTGGCCTATAGTACACTTCGCTATAGAACGTGCTATGTGGAGGTAAAGACACTAGGTGTGTTCGACATCGGCTACGGCTGGATGTAACCGATCGGCGAGAGTTGCCGCGTGCAGGCGGGGAGGAGCTGCAAACGGAGACGTGAAGTCGGACACTTTCTGGTTCCCGTAGTGACCGCTCACGTAGTGTTTGCATACTTTACCACAGCTGAAGTGAAATAAATGCAATATTTGCCACATACACAGATATTTTAGACACATTTTCATTCAATACTTTAATCCTTCATACAGCATCTGTTTGAACAAGAATAAAGTTCAAAATCAGCCTATATCAATGAAGTGGAGTAAACGTTTTTTAATCAGTTTTATTTTGATAAATGACACAATAATGACAATATAACATCGCGACTACATGGAAAGACTGTTTACTGTTATAAAAAACTGATTTGTGAGCTTTAGTAGAACTAAAGGTGTGAGAATAAACACGAAACGCACGTGATCGTTGTCATGCGGTGAATCCGGCGAATCGTGGAACAGCTGTCGTCATCAGAGCTTGTGCAGCTGCTCTTGAGAAGCTGCGCTGGCTGAGTCCTCCGGCTACTCTCGAAACGCTCTCGCGGTACTTCGATTGCATACGTCACAGTCATGTGGCGTCGGCGCTGCATCAAGTCGGACAAAATTTCTAACCGGCATGCACTGTTTCAAGTCAGCCGCCGATCGGTCTGCGCAGAGCTGCATGAAGTCGAACACACCTACTGGCTGAGATTCTACCGGAAATACGTCAGCAGCGTTCGTGCATAGAGCCTATTACCAGAGAATGTCTAATAGGAGAGAACTGGCACTCTCTGGTTACTTCCGGGTTCTGGACTGGCTGCAGTAACACGTCTCTGTCCATGCGGGGGAATGAATGGGAGTCTATGGAGTTTCACCCCCAGAAATCCACTTTTCTCAGGATGTAATTTTTTGTCAAGTAATCTGAAAGTTGCATTCAAAAGGGGAGACTAAGATAATACACTCAGCTGAAAACTGCATTTTTAAGATCACTTATCTGTTCTAAAAATCCGTTCAAAAATGTGATGACGTCACATAATAGCAGAATGCTAGCGTGTTCCGGCCAACAACGGCCTAACCTGTAAGAAATCGAAAGGACATAAGTACTCATTTATTCGACTTTTGGTCTATAATCTATATTGAACTTGTGGAATCAACAATAAAATCTATGTTGATTCAACGACAAGCAGGAGAAAGAGATACATTTAGCCGTCTAGCCCCATAGACTCCCATTCATTCTGCACTCGCCCGCGATCACCTCCAGTGGAATTCTAATGGAACTGCAACCAAGATGACACACAATGGGGCTAATAGGAAGTGCCAAGGCTTTCCGTAGACGGGCTTTACTATTACCTAATCTGGAGCTGTTGGTGTCACGTGTCGCGACGAGCAACAGCCAATGAATGATCAGCTTATCACATTCACAAGACTTTTGTATTTTGTAACCGTTGCCAAACTACAACACGAGCAGGCAGCTGCTTTTTCACTTGTTTTACTCACCTGCAACTCAATCTGTAGCACAGACAATCCCTGCTGCCCGCGTGTGCTAATTCATCTTTTCACCCATATTCTTTTTTTTCGGGGTTCTAAACAGATCATTGGACAAACAACTTTTTTTTTTCACCGCCAATTTTGTTTCGGCGTCCATTTCCAAATAGACTAAACAGCACAGCGATCTGCCGACGTGTAAAGTTGTGTAGTGTGAACTAGGCATGTTCTCTTTCAAATCTCTGTAAAACATTTAGATGCACACAACAAAAAACAATTTTCTCAATCTTTTTTGTCACTTCAATTGTCAGGAAGACTGACATATAAAACAACCAAATTAAACTTTACCATATGCACAGAAATATTTATTAAAGTGTTGGTTTTGTTTTGACACAGGCTTCTTGGTTATAGTTCTGGTTTCCACTGGTGTTGGTGTCATTTTTTCTGGACTCATCTACCCATGCTGGTTTGCATGTAAGTAAAGATTTCAAACGTGTTCTTTGTTTGTTCTGTATGTACTGGGTTATATGTTGTTCAATATAGAATTTATCATGCAAACGAAAACTGAACAAATAATGCCCATTGTTTATAGGTAAAAAAAGAAGACGACAGTAAGTTGTTTCATGCATTCAATTCAGTAGTTTGAATTATGACAGAGCTTGTTCATGAAGGTTAAAACATTTGTTATTTAAAGGGTAACTAAACCCCTGGTCAGAGCCTGACTCCACCCACTGACAATATTTGAAAAATGCTAGAAAAGTGGGCAGAGCCCAACGGAGGGGGGGAGGGGGGGGGAGCACTTCGACTCGGCTAATGGACTCGGTGCAGTAATATCATCACTCCGGAGAGGGAGAGGATTTTTCACGAGTGATGATATTACTGCGCCGAGTCGAAGTGCTCCCAAGCACTTGCTGTGGTATTCCGCCATACAATATAGTTATCCACTTTAAACGCTTTATTTTGTGTCACCATTCTTGGTCGAGTTACACTACTCGTGTAACTGTATTTAAATAGGGAAAACGTGGAGGTGTTTACTCGCTTCTCTGCTTGGCCCATATTGAATGAACTGTGCTATCAAAGTGTCTCGCGCGCCAGAGCGATTGAGTGCACGCACTGAGACGAGAGGTATGTATCAACTCGTCTTAGTTAAAGGGAATAACAGTTTAATATT